GAATAAAAAGAAATTAAAACACTATAAATACACATGTACATATATATATAAATGTATATATATATTAAAAGTACTGCCTGTAATAGTAGTAATAGCTACCCTTTATTTATAGTACATATAACAGTAAAGTTGATTTGTGCTCTGTTACTGCATCGAATTTCAATTGGAGCAACAACCTGATTGCTTGTTTAAACATTTAAGCGGTTTAATTGTGGCAATTCAATTAAGTGGCACGAAAATGGAGTGCAACAAGCGGAATTCATTGGATATTGTAATAGAATAGTAAATAAAAAAATATGCTACATTTCTTGTGTATACGTGTATGTATATAAAAAGAAAAAGTTAGGAGCAAGAATTTTAGAAAGTATTTAATGAATTTCCAACAGTGAAAATGGTTCTTTAGTTCGGTTTGTAATTTGTTTTCCACTACCCATACATCTATTTCTATCTAGTGTTAAGGTGCTCTAATTTTACCAACAGAAAACAATTTTTTTAATTTTTCTGTAAAACTTTTATCGTAAAATATTCCTCGGCAAGTAGATGTGAGCTCCGGCAATATAAAACAAGGCTGAAATAAGTGTTCCGAGTTCGAAGCAAAAGCCATCATATTAACCGAAAGAGTGAAAAAAATATTTGAATCCAGCTAGAATTTGTAAGGTAACTTTACGGGCAACTCAAATTTGATGAAAAAAGTACTCGGATATTTGCATTGTGTTTCAAAACGTCCAGAGTCCTACATAAGAATGTTTCGTATGCTGAAATCTCAGTTGATTGGAGTGAATTCGAAGAAATTGCCAACGAACGTAAGGGAAAATTTAGACAAAATAAAGAGATGAAGAAATTTTTCTCTGATAAGACTTCGATAAAGAGTTGAAATGGACAAGCAACTGAAAGAAATGAGCGATAAAAGTGAGTAGTAGTCCTACTGAATGGTGCAGAAGCGTTGACGATGACAACATCAAATGAGTCGATCCTGGGAGTCTTCGAGAGAAAAGTTTTGCGAACGATCTATGGTGCTTTGCGCATTGGCAACAGCGAATACTGAAGCGTATGAAGAGACAGCGATTACGTTGCTAAGGTCATGTCGTCCGAATGGAATCACTCAGTGGAAAAAATTGCGGACATTTTCGGTTTGAACTTGAAGGACAGAGGAAAAGAACCCAACTTAATTTAGAACCGAGTTTAAAGAATTTCATGTTAGAGAGATTAGCTCAAGAAAAAGTGCTCTCAAGGCGGATTTTGTTACAGAAGAAAGTGATATATTAGGGGTAATTAGAGTAACTAAGCTATCTACAGTAACAGGATTTATAGAATTTCCGAAAATCTCCCGGAATTCTTGCTGTCAGTGGTTTGAATTTTATATCAAATTTGGTTTGTTGTTTTTGTACTAAGTAAAAGAGTTTTAGTATTTAACAAAATATATTTACAGCACACACAAACAGATACTCTCTTGCACTTTTCAAAATATATTCAGAAGTACAAAAGAAATGTAAGAAAATTGAAATATGTGGAGAGAAAATGTGATAAAAATGCGTTCTGTCATTCCACAACTGCCAGCGCTGGATAATTACATCAATAATTGTCGTTGCCGCATATAAATTGCCCGCCATTACATTGGTAATTAGTGGTGTTGGAGGCGCTGGTGTAGTGCCGCGCTATACAACTGCTGTGCTACATACACACATATGGCGGGTTTGGCGGCCACGAGAAGTTTAGTATTAAAGTCTCTGATAGAATTCTATGCTTTTTTGGAATTTTTCTGTGTGTCTCCTCGGTAAATAGCAAGCATTTTTTGTATATTTTGCTTTCCTCCTGTCGCGTCTTTATGCCCATTAAAGTATGTACGTTTTGTTGGTGTGTTTAGTCACATATCCGCGCTGTGTAGTTGCAAATGTTTATACTCTTTATGGTGGCAATAAAATATTGAACCGAATGTCATGTAAAAATGTTTGTGTTTTTTATTGTTTACTATTTCTGCATCCATTATGATGGCCGTGGGTGAGCTCCAAAGCTCCTAATTTATTTGTCTGAACAAAGTGTGTACTAATTGTCATCATTTAATTTATGGATTCGAAGGTAAGGAAGGTAGTGTATCTGCCACAAAACTGACTGAACTTATTCGATGTGGAAGGGGTTGTGTACAGTGAAGAAAAAGTTTGACTGCTATTAATCCGAGTGCGGCGAGAAAAGGCTTCTTAGTCTATGATTCAAGAAGCAGGTCTAAAACGTTAATGTCCGATCACTTAGTTGTGAAGATGTCGCGTCTTTGTAGAAATTAGGGCTTCATGGAGACTTCATTGTGTCCAAGAAGCTTAAGGATGGTCAGTTTTTGTGAAATTTTCTACAGTGCCCGTACAAAGACGGGAAAAGTCGATTTGGGGATAGACACCAAAGCTGAATACTGGCATTCAATCCGCTAGATGAATGTCTAGTCAAACAACTCGAAGGAAGAAAGGGCGATGTGGTCTGTTAAGTACATTTAAAAGCTGCCACTGGTCCTGATGGGAAAATAAACTATCTTCGACACAACTGTTGGAAAATTCAATCACCTTACCGAAGCACTCCAAAGAAACTGAGGATAATCTACTTGACTTAGGCTCGAGATATGGTATTTAAAGACCTCTGGTGCGGCTTAGCATAAACTGCACGTCTCTCCATTTGTTGTAAAAATATTAGGACGTAGCCGAATCGAAAACCTCTTAACAAATGGAGCATGCTGTGATAGATGGAAAATATTTCGACAGTATAGTGCACTCTTTTTGAGAGCAATCATCAAAATATCTCCTATTTTTCTTGAGAATGGCAGGTATAAAACACAATTGCCTGTAGGGCGTGAGTATGAAGAGCAGGAGAAGCTGCTTGATTGCCTGAAAGGCCGAAAATTTTGTGAAAGATTGCGACGACTTAAATAAGGCCTTACGACCGGAGTTTACTCACGTGACCAAAGTCCAGAGTATATCGTTGATGTCATCTTCATAGGGTTTTCGTCACCCAAATATAATTGAAGAAAATGCGCATTTTTTATTGCGGCTGAACTGCCTGTTACTGATATTAAGTCTACCTTCTTTGGTAAGCTGAATAATTTGGCTTCGATGAGGATTGTGGCTGAGCCGAAATGAATTAAATTCGTTCACTACTCTTTTCTAGTCAATTAAATAATTTTTTTTTGAAAACTTTCCTTCTCAGCTAAGCACTTTTACGGCTTCACAGAGTCGCTTTATAAATGTACTTTTGTTTATTAACCAGTTTAGAATTACAGACAACCACATTTGCAATGAGTAAAAACTGAACAGGAAACTAGGTTTATAGCCAGTTTTGCGCAGGTTAACTAAAGTTTTAAGTTAAAAAAATTAAAAAAAATTGAATTTTTGAAAAAATTAAAAAAATACATTTTTTGGAAACTGATAATATTAAGAAAAAAATAAAAAAAATTATTTTTTTTGAAACACTTAAATATGTTTCCAGCAGTAAGTGCTTCTCCAAAAATTTTGAGCAAAATTTGCTTATAAATTTTGTACTTACGTTATGTAGGGATATGTGTGTTTGCATACAAGAGATATAATTCCAAAAAAAAAAGATTTTCTATTAAAATTCAGCTTAAATTTGCCTACAGTACGATAACTCTTTCTCACTACTAACAACAAGCAAAGAAAAAAGAAATGAATAAATAAATATGAATGAAAAAATAAATTACCCAAAACAGGCAACAGGCTGTTGCGCCCGCCCTTAGCGCAAAGGCAAATGCAACAACAGAACAAATAAAAAGCAAAAACAAAAAAAAAACAACTTAAATGCGCTCCCACTAGCGCTTCCTCGCTCTCTCTCTCGCTCTTTTCAGGGCGAGCGCAAACCAATTTCCCACTATTTCGTAAATGTACCGTTAGGAAATTGTGAGAATATTTACCGTTACAGTCGTGTATACGCCTGTGTGCTTGCGAAAGTGCGTCGAGGGAAATTTCCCGTTAGCGATGGCCAGGTTGATAGGCCGGAACTGCTGCTGTTGCTGGTGTTGCTGGTGCTAACGCTGGGACTTGGTGTAGCTGCTGCTGAAAATTTTGAATTCAGTTTGAAACGATAAAGCGCCGGATGCGCACGGTGAACGAATTTGTGAGCGGATTTTGATTTATTTGTGACGTTCTATGTGGAAGCATATTACTTACTTATTTCGATTGAAGAAGAGCAAGCTGATTTTTGTAGTAAAAATTGGCAGCGAAAGGAAATATTTAGCACAAACGAAAGTAGTGTGAACAGTAAATAGCGCAAACGAATTAAAAAAGAAAACGAAAAATTTAATTTAAAATTTTTTTTTGAAGATATGCGTAAGGAGCGTGGCGAGAAGTGAAAATAAATATCTTCTTTTTTATAGAAAATAAAGTCATTAGAGAGCTCTCTGAGCAGTAAATCTTGTGCGTGTCCCTGTGTGTGGACAACAGCAGAGTGAAGGAGTAACAGAAAGTAAGCGAAAACTCATCTGAACTCGAGGTGGCATCTGGCAAGTGAGTGGAAAATTTCTTTTTGTGCAAAAAACAAACAAAATTTATATATAATAAAAGTCAAGACAGCCAAGTTGTGATGCTACAAATCAACGGTCGTCTCCACTTGACGAGTGAGACAATTTGGGCTGGCCAAAAATAAACGCATCACGCGTGAATTACAAAAACAAAGAAAAATAAATAACCAACACAGTAAGCATAAGCAAAGCAACATAGACCGGAGGCGCGCAATACAAAGATACAAAAAATAAAATTACAAAAAAACTACAAAAGCGCAAAAAGAAATTCGAATCTGTTGAATGCGTATCTATTTTTGCCGGCGAATTTGAAAAGCAAAAGTGTAGTGTGCTGAAAGTGTGTAAGACCGCTAAGCAGAGTGAGGGTCAAGTGTGTGTTTGGTGTAAACGAAAAAATCAAACGAAAAAGATTTGAATTTAACCAAAAAAAAATTTTTTTTAATTAAAGTCCCTTAAGAGTACCTAAAAATATAAAATCTTCCAACTTTTTAATTAAAAATTTTGAATTTCCTGCCCATCCCCCTCATAAATAAATAATAAAAATGACAGCAAGCGAAATTTACAAAATGCTTGTACTCCTACTCGCAACCGTCTGCCTCGTTTGCAGCGCGCTACCCTCACCCGAACCGCAACCACAACCGCAACCGGAACCGGAGCCGGCACTCTTGAGCAGCTATAAACCCGCATTCATATCGAATCCATCCATATATACCTACACTATCGCTGAGAGTCATGCACAAAAGCAACAACAACAACAACAACAACAACAACAACAACAACAAAATGCCCAACAACATGCGATGATGAGCAATGACATCGACTATAATACTAACAGCAATAATTACTACAATTATGCCAGTAGCAACAACAAAAACAACAACAACAACAATTATAACAATAATCAATTTGGCAGCAGCCACAGCCGCAGTTCGAGTGATGTGTCTGCTGCTTCTTCATCTTCTTCTGCGGCTTATCGTAATTTCTATTTTGCCAATAGCAAATTTAGTGCCGCTTCAACTGCTATGCCAGGAACAACAACAACCGCTACAACAACACCACCAACACCAACACAACCTCTGCCGGTGAGTGGCTGTCAATTGGTTGTTTATAAAGTCGTCTTGCATACCTACTGGACGCGTGACTTATTCCCGAAACACTATCCGGATTGGAGGCCAACGGCGCAGTGGACGAAAACTATAGGTGAGTTTGGAAGTAAATTTTGTTTTTGGGAATTAAATATTTTTCTAAGTAGTGATGAATGTATTAACGAGTAAGTGAATCTAAGAACGATGAAGCAGTATGAGTTTATCGATATCTGTGGATCTGGCTTCAATTTCGAAATACCAACTCAACTTCGAAATAAGTCGTTACTAATTAATTTGCTATGATTTTATTGATAAAATTCCTCGGACCTTGATATAGTCTTTCTTCATTTACTGGATTATGCTTGAGTTTTTTTCAGTCAAGTAGTGCCATCGTGCCCAGGCTTTTGGTCTTATTATTTCCAACTTAAACGTCGAAAATATTATGTAGAGGTAGGAGTTTTGTTGAGATCCAATACCAAGAACTACTTCTTCCCGCTTCCCGATTGTAATTCTAGCATTTGTTATTTCCATTTTATAGCCTGGTCCCTTAATCCCCTTAGGACGATTTTAAGATGGCGGGACTTAGGCCTCAGTAGATAATATCTTGGCTGGATTACATACCCTTAATTCAATCAATAGAACCCTCTAAGTAAAAAAAATGACCCATAGCCGACTTCTATTTAAATTTTCGTCGAAGAAAGTTGCTGTTGGAATACAAAAGAACTTTATCTCCGGGCTGGGAAAATATCATACACCAATTCACAGCTGAGATAAGTTTGGTTCTCATATCAGCATTTCTATTCATAAGATCCTCCAGAAAGATAGCAATGTTTCGTAGAAATGCCAATGTATCATCTCTTCGATCTCCTCATACTGGAAGAGGAGAAAGGGATGAAGTTAGTTGGATGCCGATAGGGTGAAGAGCTCAGCATGGTTTTTGTATATATAATTGGCGCTTTGTAACCGCCGAAGCGATTTTCGGTTGAGCTCCTTCTGCAATATGTGGTTTTGCGACCTGATGCTTTTCCAACAAATAGAGGGATCTACAGTATATTTATTATAAAGGAGCTTTATTTTATGACAGAAATACACTCAAAGGGGTTAACATTCCATGCCAGGGGGCAGCCGCACTTATTTAAATTAATTTTCTATAACATTTTGCAGGCTAGTACGACACCAGAATTTGAATCCGAGTCTTCCGAGTGGCAAAACGCAATGCTAATTACTCAGCCGGGTTTAGAATTCAAAAATTTACCATTTTCCCACATACGGTATGACTGTCCTTAGAGGCAGCTCGCATCACAGTCGAGTCTCTATATCTGAATGCCCTGGGTTTTTATGCGGTCAAGGCGTGTCACTCCCAAAAAATTGTGAAAAATCAATTTGAAAAATATTTTATTGGTTTCAACAAGAAACACAACAACAGCAAGAGGCTGTTGAGATGAAGATAGAATAACAATCGATTTGTGGGGATCATAGAAATTTATGGGTAGACTCCCGAAATCTGCAAGGAACTCTCTCTGTATACGGATACGAGGGCCTCCTGTTTAAGCCCAAGTCGCCCAAAAAATTACTAAGTGAATGAGATGGGGTGGGTTTGGCTGAATTCTCTTAAAAATTACTTATAGGCGCCTTAAAAGTGGGACCCAAGTAATCCTAAAAGGGACACAGAGACCGATGTGGAGAAAGTTAAGTTAAATTCTCTTAGTGGGTTGGGCTTGACATGGATGCAGTGGTAAATGTTCAAACCGAAGAGGTTTTCTTAGAAAATAAAATGTTTACAAAGTTTCTAAAAGACTTCACAACTGTAGATATAAGAAAGCTTACATAGTGAGCGATTAACGTGAACTACAGTATTTTCTTTCTTTCGTCATTAAGAGGGAGATCTATTTCGTTTCGAGGTTTAGTTAGGTCTTCATGACTATTCCAATTCCTTTATTAACAGACTCGTGATCCCTATAACCTGCTCTCCCAAATTCGATAATCAGAACAAAAAACTTTTATAGGTGTGAGCTTTAGAGCTTCTTCCATTCCAAAGAGAATCGCTGAGATTTACAGACATACGAGTATGTGTCTTACAAATCTTGAGGGATTTTTTATGTTAATGATTGATCGAATTTCATAGTGTTTGGAGCAATTTTTGTTACTTGAGCGTAATTTTCGTATAGAGCGCTTGAGTGCTTTAAGCAGCAAGTTCAAACTAACTAAACAAGTTCCATTGAGTACGTCTAAGTTGGAGCCAAAGAGGTCAGAATTATTTCAGAGAGATAATCGAGAAGAAAGTTATATATTTGGGGTGATAAGCTTCCTTTGTTTTATTTTATGTAATTTTTTTGTTCAAAAAGCTCTACAAGCTCAATTTTAAACACTAAAAGTTATGGGTTGAACACTCAATATTTTTCTAATACTTTTCGAGATTTTTAAGTTCAAAAATCTCAAGCTGTCCTTGTGAGAGAAACCCTCCTTCAAAATATCAAATTCCAACTTTTTCTAGTCTTGACCCCAGAACGTCCATAAGGATTCAATTTTCGACAATTGAAATATTATTGCGGGCCATCTCAAAAACAGTTACTTCATATTTTGAAACCAATAAAAGAAGATGCAACGGAAAAAAGAGAATGCAATAGAGAAATGTTACAACATAAAAACGAAAATTTCAAATGCCAAACATAAAACAGCAAAGTACAGAGGAAACACCAAATCGATAGCTCAGAAGACACAGAGGAAGAAGTCAAAAGGGAAAAATATATGAAAACACAAAACAAAATCTAAAAATCGCTACAAAGCAAAATAAATGTGAAAACAAGCGCAGCACATGGAATTGAAATTGTGCTAAGAGCAAAGAAAACCAGCGAGCTCACAACGCAAGCGGAAAGGTATGTCGAGGGAAAAAACAACAGGATATATGAACGGACACTTGAAATAACAACGGGCCATTTATTTGCAGAAAACCAACAGCAAGCAATACATTGGCAGAAAGCAAGTGACGAGGAAAAAATATAAAACAAACGGACAAAGACAAAAATGAGGAAATGGCAAAAACAAACGGCGAAAAAAAAAAACAAAAAAAAAAAACAAATAGTAAATGACAAATGCAGAGACTAGGATATATGAGCCGGATATATATGAAATTGAGAAATGCGACAGTGAGGAAGTAAAAGTAACTGAATAATGTGTAGGATAAATTTGAGAGATTTCGAAGCGGGCACTGAGGGCGTTGGGACAGCTTAGAAAACTATTTTTGTATAAAAGAAGAAATATTCTAGTATTAGTATTTGGAGGCAAAGAAAGCCAAAGTAAGCCATTTCGAGAATTGCATTAGTGAAGGAGGGAGAAGTAAGGCATGAGTGTGGCATCCTTTTTTGCCAGCTTAAGCTCAAGCTATGCGCCGCTGGAGTTGCATTGTAAGGAAGTGCAATATTTGTGAACGTTTTGCAGAGTGACATGGCAACAATGTGAGAGAGAGAGAGAGAAAGCATAAAAAAGAAAAGAAGAAAGAAAACTGTTAAAATGACAAAGGAAGTTAGCAACATTCGACATTTGCAACGAAATTGCAATTTCAGTTAGACGAAAGCTGTAAGCAATTTCATTGGTTTCATTGCTGTTATTGCTGTTATTGCGCTTATTGTTGCTATTATTTTATTTTATTTTTTTTTATTTATTTTTATTTTATGCTTTTTACTTAGTTATTGTTGCGGTGAGCTGCTTTTACGACAAAAGCAAAAATTTATGACAAACGACAAAAGGAAATACAAGTGGGAGTAGATATATGCGTGTTGTTGTAAAATCCACAGCGATTGCTGTAGTGAAAACTAGCAGAGTATACCAAAACCGAAGAAATGCATCAGAAAAACTAACAAAAAATAATAATAATAATATTAAAATGTATAAAAAAAATGACCACCACCACCGCTTGCCACATTAAGTCGAAAACAAAAGATATTTGCAACAAATTGCAAAAAATAACTGTCAGTGCAGAAATGCATGAAACATAACAAACTGTCGCCAGCAGTAAAGAGCAAGTAAAACTAGTGAACCAGAAAATGTCTTACTTTGATAATGCATTTTTTATATATCCGATATATTTTAATTACTGTATAATTTTAGTTAAAACTAATTTCAATTTAAATGACTTGTATTTTTTCATTTTATTATATTGTAGTATTCAATTTATGTTCTGTTATTTAATTTAATTTTTATTTTATAAAGAGTTAATTTATTTTATTTTTAATTGTAAATGTTTTAGTTTAACTTTTTTAATTAACTTAATTTATGTTTAATTTATTTTAATTCAAATTGTTTAAATTTTTGTTAATTACATTTTATTTATTATTATATATTTATATTATTTTATTTTCATAATTGTATTATGTTTTATTTCGTTTATATAATTTTAATTCATTTTTTTATTTTGTTTTATTTCATTTCGTTCTATTGAATTCAATTTTTAAATATTTCAATTCATTCAATTAATTTTTGTTTTGTTTTATTTTATCGTTATTATTTTTAAATTTGTTTTATATAATTTTCCTCTTTTTATTTCTTTTGAATTTTTTTTGTCATTTTATTATTTTATGTTTTATTTTACATTTTATTAATTTTTATTTTACTTTGTTTTATAGCATTTTATTTTAGTTTAATATTTTTGTTTTATTTTGTTTTAATTTGATTTTAATTAAGACATCATTTTTAGTTTATTTTATTTCACATAATTTTATATATTTTTTATTTAGTTTCATTTTATTGTGCTTTATTTTGTTTGGTTTATTTTATTTATTTTTACTATATTTTTTAATATCTTATTTTATTTTATTTCTTCATTAAATTTTGGTTTAGTTTGTAATAATTTATTGTGTTTGATTTCATTATATAATATTTCATTATATTTTATTTTAAGTCCATTTAAATTATTTTAATTTATTATATTTGCTTAAATATATTTTTTATTTTATTGTATTATAATATATGTTATTTATTTCAAATTTAATTTATTTTATTTTCCATCGTTTTATTTTTGTTGATGCTATATAATTTTAATCTGCTCCATATAATTTATTTTTAGTTTTATTTTATAATTTTATATTTCATATTCTGATTTTTGAATTTATTTAGTTT